TTCTCCTCCTTCCTTTGAATGTTATTTTACTTTCATGACTCTGATGGTCTGACCGCTTGGCGGTTTAGTGGTAAAATCTTACCAGTGGGGTTCATTTCTGTAGTTCGACAATGTTTTCGTGATTATCAAACCATTTTCGGAGGGTTTTGCCTTATTCCTTCTGGAATCTCTAATCAGTGAGGTGCAGTTATTGATCAGATCTTCATTGAATCGATATTTCCAGGATCTCGAGATCGAGGGCGTCATGCGCTTCTACTTCCAGGTTCGATTCATATCTCCGCTTTGTTATTCGTTTTAATAGTCGGCATGTTCCTAAACTTTATATGTTATTGTTTTATGTTTTCTATGTTATCTTCCATTCTTATAGCCGTTTTTGGCGAAAGTATCCGCGCCGATCGTGACCTTGACACGTCGCCATACTCCTCCATTTAATGTCGCGCGCTTGTGCTAGTTTGAGGGCCATCTTTGGGCTGTGGAACGGTGCATCTAACCTGAACGGTGAGAAAAAGGTGGCGCTAACGAAGGGACGTCACACGCAATGAGTTCGTTCTTAGGAGTATTCGGTGAAGATTAAAAGTTTGGTGTGCTAGTGCGCGATCTCTGCAGCGACTTATCGACCCTGTTTCGGCACATTCACTAACGAACGAGGTCGATGCATCCACCGCGTTCGTGAAAGCACTAAGACAAGAATGTTGCTGAAGGTTTGGTTGAAAATTTTGCAGATAGTAGCAAATCTACAATCCTACACCTGAGGTCCTTTCTTGTGATCTTGTGTACCTTTTCTGGGCCGTATCCTATTCTTTCCCCAGGCTAGGGAAACAAAAGAAAACTTTAAATTTATTTGTTTTCAAAACTGAGTTCCTTTACTTTCCGCACATGCTTGCTTTCACACATATATACACATTACGAATAAGCACTTCATCAGGACCATTTTTGAAGAAGACGAAAATTTAGGGAAATTTTTTTCTCTTCCCCTCCCCTAGTCTGGGCGAAGGATAGGATACAGCCTGGTGGTCTTAAGATCTAGGATATTCAGGAGACTCACTTAGTATTTCCAAGCTCTTCTTTGACCGTAATTTTGTTTTTCCCGTCTTAAATGACTTCATGAAGCTGCTGCTAGTCTGATTTGTTGCTGAAAGGATGATAGGAAGGCCGGGCATAGGACGGAGTACAGTAGAATATGCCTTTTATAACTGCATTTATCAGTTTTTAAGCGATTTTCTGTTGTTTGGGATTGAATGGTGTGGATAATTGTGATACTGTTGACGTAGAGGGGAGGTGGTAGAGATGGATATCATCACAAAAAGAACAGTTTTCCTGAAGTTATGCTGATTTGTAAGTAGGCTCCTTTCCACCGCTCCATAATTTCGTAAAGGTTATGACAGGGAGTCGAATCTAGTGTCTCTGCAGTTTCGGTAAAGTACTTATAAGAGCTTTTGCTAGGTTCGCTGTTTGTGCGACATTTCCAGAAAATGTGTGATGAAGAAAAATTACCGTTTTTTATCATTTTATTTTACTTTTTATTTATTTTTCTTCTTTGGCTTCATGTTTTGGATTTGGATCTTGCGATCCCGCACGAACAGCGCTGTTTGAAGAGCATCAAGCTCAAGTATACAATCAGTTATACTTTTTTGTGTGTAATTAAAATCAGCATTTGTCAGGATGGTGGTGAAAGAGTACTGACGAAGTGTGTCCGTGTGTCTAGTACTGCGACAACACGTGCCGTTGTGGAAGCGTTGACTGACAAATTCTTGCCGGACCTGAAAATGCTTTCTGATGACACTTATAGTCTCTGGGAGGTGAGATTCGTTGTTCGGAATTTGGAATCACCATTTATTTCTCCAGCAGTTTTATATACGTTGAA